GAACCACTGCTCCAGGGCTTGGTCACCAGAGCTGCCAGGGAACTGTGAGTCCCCTCTGGTGCTCCAGAGACCCACAGAGGCGCCTCGGGAGTAAGATGTGTGAGTGCCCTTGTGTCAGGCCTTTGCTGGTGTCCGTGGCTGTGGGCCAGCGTGGGAGCTGGGGGCAGGAGGGGTGGCCCCAGGAGCCCCAGCCCTGCCATGCCTCCTGCCCTCAGCTCCAGGAGCTGCACCGAGCTGGGGGCGACCTCATGCACCGAGACGAGCGGAGCCGCACACTCCTGCACCACGCGGTCAGCACCGGCAGCAAGGAGGTGGTCCGCTACCTGCTGGACCATGGTGAGCCGGGCTGTGGGGCCCAGGGTCTGGGGCCAAGGCGGGAGGAGGAGGGGCTGCTAGGCCTCTCTGACCACCCCTCCCCTCCTCCAGCACCTCCAGAGATCCTCGATGCTGTGGAGGAAAAGTGAGTATCTGGGCAGTGCCGGACCCTGGTCACCCTGGAAACCACCATCTTCCTCTCACCCCTCCTATTTTGTCAGGCCAGAGCCCATAAACTCCTCCTGGCCACATCTGTCATCCCCTGGGCCACTCCTATTGCCCCAGGGCCCCGAACTTCCTACCCTTTGTGATGGCCCTTGGGGCAGAGGGGTCAGAGGACGGGATGGGGTCCACAGCCAGCCGCTGCTCCCCCAGCGGGGAGACCTGTCTGCACCAGGCAGCAGCTCTGGGCCAGCGCACCATCTGCCACTACATTGTGGAGGCCGGGGCCTCGCTCATGAAGACGGACCAGCAGGTGAGCAGACGGCCAGCAGGGAGCCCATGCCCGGGCACCAACCAAACCTTTGCAGAGCTCCAAGAAGGGAGCTGGGGCTGGGGGCTGTTCCTGGGAAGACATAGTCCAGACCCTGGGAAACCTGAGCCAGCAGGGGAGGAGCTGGTGGGTGGAGAGGCCTCTCTCCCTGACTAGGCCCCTCAGTGGAAGAACCCCTGCCTGGCCTCAGCCAGCTCCGGATGGGCCACGGGCCTCTGGACCCTGCTGATCGCAGCCCCGCCCTCCTCCAGGGTGACACTCCCCGGCAGCGGGCTGAGAAGGCTCAGGACACCGAGCTGGCCGCCTACCTGGAGAACCGGCAGCACTATCAAATGATACAGAGGGAGGACCAGGAGACCGCTGTGTAGCGGGTTGCCTATGGGCAGCAGGAAGGACAGTGCGGCCAGGGGACGAGCGCCCTCCTTGCCCACCTCACTGCCACATTCCAGTGGGACGGTCACGGGGGGACCCAGGCCCCAGGGAAGGAGCCCTGTGCCGCCCCCTAAGGAGCTGCCCAGACCTAGGGCTGGACTCAGGAGCTGGGGGCCTCATCTGACCCCTTGAGGCCCCTGCGGGACACGGAGGCTCACAAGGGAACAGGACACGGCTGGGTTGGACATGCCTTGTGGGGGTTCTGGGCTAGGGCGCTCCCCGGCCGCAGCAGATGCCTTCCGAGGATTGGAGGGTCTGGAGAGGGAGGGAGGCCTTCGGGAAGAGGCTTCTTGGGCCCCCTGGTCTTTGGCTGGGCCCCCAGCCCCCGCTCCTGCCGCACACCCCCCCCCCCCCCGGGCTTCCTCCCGGAAACTCAGCGCCTGCTGCATTTGCCCGCCCTGCCCTGCTTGGCACCCGCTCCGGCGACCCTCCCCGCTCCCCCGTCTTTTCAACGCGGACTGTGCGGCCTGGGGGTGGGGGGGCGGGACTCTCTCGGTGACATGTTTACAGCTGGGTGTGACTCAGTAAAGTGGATTTTTTTCTTTTCTGCTTTTCTTATTTTGCGGGGGAGGTCTAACAAGCAGCGAAGGCTGCCGGGTTGTGGGGACTGGACGCCGTCGACAGCACCTTCCCGGAGCCCCGGAGCCCCGGTTCCTGACCTCTGCCCAGCGGCCGAGCTCGTCGGGGCAGGGGCCGGGGGCGGGGCCGATCCCTCCAGCTTCCCGCTTCCCGCGGGGAACAACAATGAAAGTGAAAGAGGGGTGGGGCGGGGGGCGAGCCCAGGCTCTGTGGCCCATGTGCCCTGTGACCTTGAGCAAGCCCCTCCCCCAGGCCTCGGGGGCTCTCCTGGTTTGGAGGGACCAGGCGAGGCGATGCAGCAGGCCCGCGGTCTGAGGGGGTGGGCTTTTGCAGCCGCCGCTGTGGCTGGGTCTGGAACTTCTCAGACGGCTCCTGTCAGCGCGAAGTTTCACCAAATCCAGGCCTGCAGGCTCCTCCCCCAAGACCCCCACTCGCCGCCCCTCAAGCCTGTCCTCCAGGAAAGGCGGTGGGCGCCCGCACTCGTGCCTTTCTCTGGGGACCCGGGTCCCAGACTCCCCCCTCAGCACAGCAGAGCGCCTCCCTGCCCACCCACGGAAACGGACCCAGGTGGGGCCGCGCCACCTCCCCAGCAGCCAGCGGGGCGCCGGGGCTGAGCCCGCCGTGGGAGGGGAGCGGGCCCGGCGGGTTATACGGGAGCGGGGGTCTTCGTGCCCTGCTCGTCCCCAGCGGAGGCTCCGCGGCAGGCAAGGAAAGTCGCGGCCTGAGAACAGCCCGGGACCTGACGTCTAGCAGGGGACGACCCGGGATGGGGGCAGTGGGCGGCAGTGCAGGAAGCCCGAGTGGGCCGGGGACTGGTGTGCGCGGGCGGGACGAGGCCCGGGGCTAGGAGACCCCGGCTCGGAAGATGGGTCCGGGAAGGGCCGTCGTCGCAGCGCAGAGGGCACCGGCGGGGCGAGACGAGGCGAGGGCGCGGAGCTGGGCGCACGGACGCGGGAGCTAAAACGGGGGTCGCAGGCGGGAGCGGGGGCGGGGACGCCGTGGTCGGGGGCGGTGCGGGTTTGAGGGGAGGGGGCGGGGCGGGTCCTTCCCTGGGGGGTGGGGAGAGGGGGCGGGGGCCCATGTGACCGGCTCAGACCGGTTCTGGAGACAAAAGGGGCCGCAGAGGCCGGAGCGGGACAGGCCTGGCGCGGGAGGGAACGAAGCAGCGCAAGCAGCGAGCGAGCGCACGGCCGCCCCAGGTCCGCCCGGCCGCGGCCGATCTGGGGGCTGGGGGCTGGGGGCTGAGTGCTGGGGGGTCCGAGCTGCGTCCTGGGCTCGATGCGTCCCCCGGGAGTCGCGTCCCGGCTAACGGCGAGGGGCTGGCCCCAAGTCCTCCCACAGCCGCCACCTTAGTAGCCCGACTGGAGGCCTGGAAAGTGGGGCACGCGGGGGTGGAAGGGCCCTGCACGCGGCCCCGGGTGGGGAAAGGGACGGGACAGGGAGTCTGACTCAAGCTCTTCCCCCAGGATGCAGCACCGAGGCTTCCTCCTCCTCTCTCTCCTTGCTCTGTTGGCGCTCACCTCCGCGGTGGCCAAAAAGAAAGGTGATGAGGGATGATCGAAGGAGGGCTGGGGACGGGCAGGCGAGGCTCCGCCACCTCCGGGCTGGGCCGCCTGGGTTCCCAGCCTGGAACCCCAGGAGGGCGGCCCCCGAGGGAGTCTCCCCATGCACCGGTCCTGAACTCTGTTCCCCGCACGTTGTAGACAAGGTGAAGAAAGACGGCCCGGGGATAGAGTGCGCGGAGGAGTGGGCCTGGGGGCCCTGCACCCCCAGCAGCAAGGATTGCGGCGTGGGCTTCCGCGAGGGCAGCTGCGGGGCCCAGACCCAGCGCATCCGGTGCAGGATCCCCTGCAACTGGAAGAAGGAGTTTGGAGGTGAGGCGGGGCGCAGGCAGAGGGCAGGAGAGGGGGGCACAGCCACGCCGAAGGCTGGGCAGACTCGTGGAAGGAGGCCGCGGGCCGCGCAGCGCTGACCCAGGCCGCTCTCCCGCCAGCCGACTGCAAGTACAAGTTTGAGAACTGGGGTGCGTGTGATGGGGGCACCGGCACCAAAGTCCGCCAGGGCACCCTGAAGAAGGCGCGCTACAATGCCCAGTGCCAGGAGACCATCCGCGTGACCAAGCCCTGCAACCCCAAGACCAAAGCCAAGGCCAAAGGTCAGTGAGAGGAGAAGGGGGTGGGGCTGTAACAGGGGGCTGCCCCCGCTTTCCCGCGCCTGTGAGGAGACTTCTAGGTTAAACCTCAAATTTTGAGTCCTGGCCAGTGGCTTCCTGACATCGCCTCACTCGACTATCCTGCCTGGAAAAGTCTAGAGATGGGCAGTACAAGAGGGCCCGCAGGTGGTGCTGGGGACAAATAGGGACCAACTCAAACTACTCCATTGGAGCATCTGGCTTAGGACCCAGAGAAAGTGCCCTGGAACGGCTGGCCTTTGTCAGCTCTCCAGCCACGGGCAGCATTCAGTCAGTTCTGCCCTTTCTAGTGTAGGGAGGAGGTGGGGGGGGACCCTGGGCCTCTCTTAACTGACTCCTGACTCAGCCCAGCGAGGCCAGCAGGACAGGGGCGAATCTGCCCGCTTCTCAGGTGAGGAGGCTAAGGCTGTCCAGGACTGCTGTGACCAGGACCAGGACCAGGACTGGGAACTTGAAGCTTTTCTGATCCCAAGTGGAAATAGGAAGCTGGGGGTGTCTGATGTCCACATCACAATGGCTGCCCCATCCCCTACTTCCGGGTCCGCTGATCGGAAACCACTAGGGGGCAGAATCTCCCCCTTCCCTGATGCCGCGTGTTTGTGCAGCGGGCGGTCTGCAGTGGGTCGCCCTAACTGCTGATATGGTATTAATATTTCTTTCTTGTTTTACAGCCAAGAAAGGGAAGGGAAAGGACTAGAGGCCAAGCCTGGATGCCGAGGAGCCCCTGGTGTTACCTGGGGCCTGGCCCACGCCCTCCCTCTCCCTGGCCTGAGATATGACCCGCCAGTGCCTTCTGTCTGCTTGTTAGCTTTAATCAATCATGCCCTGCCTTGTCCCTTTCACTTCCCAGCCCCACCCCTAAGTGCCCAAAGTGAGGAGGGACAAGGGATTCTGGGAAGCCTGAGCCTTCCCCAAAGCAATGTGAGTCCCAGAGCCCTCTTTGTTCTTCCCCACGATTCCATTACTAAGAAACACATTAAATAAACTGAATTTTCCCCCAATAAAAGCTTTTCTTTTTTTAATATATAAAAGCCCCTTCCCAAGGAGTTTGCTGTGGAAATGTGTCTGGGGCTGGGAAGCTGGGAAGAAAGACCAGGCTGCAGGGACTGGTGGGTTTCAGGGGGTTGGGGGCCTGGTGGTTGGTGCTCCCCAGAGCTCATGGAAAAAGAACAATTTCAAGAATTTCTTCCAGGGCCCCTGAAAGGATGCCCCCCATCAAGTCCCCTAAGCCTTTCAGTCCTCATATCTCCCAGGGACCAGGGCTGGGGAAGGGAACCTGCCTGACACTGGAATCACCACGCCCATCTCAACCTCACCCAGTTAAAGGTCTTTTGGTCCAACCCACAGCCAATCAGGAAGGTTCTACCCATGGGGGGGGGGCAGCAGATTGGGGGTTGAGTGCCTATCTCACTGCCCACCCCCACTGTCACGGAAACCCGAGTAGGTCGATGCCTTTCTTCTTGCCTGTGTGACCCAGGCCTCCACCCTCCAGAGGCCAGAGGGTGAGAGGTTTGAAGAGAGTAGATGGGAACGCTGCCCACCACAGCCTCACCCTGACTTGACGTGTGACCTGGGACAGCCTTCTAAGGCTGGGGAGGCAGGGGCCTGTCTTCCGAATAAGTGGACCCCCCTTGGCTCAGCCTGGGATTGCAGGAGGCCAGACCTCAGTTCCTGAGAGAGAACCCCTGACCTCCCCGCTGCCCCGTCTTACTGTGACAAGGGCAGTGCTGCTGGGGTTGGGGGGACCTGGCCTCCATCATGCCCACCCAGAACCTGGCTAAGCAGCTGCAGCCAGAGAAGATTTCTGCCCCTGGAGTGGGATTAGGGGAGAGGGGGCTGAGCCTACATGCGGGGTGCAGGGGGGCGGAAAGCACCGATTACAGCAGAATAGGGGACCCCACCCCTCCATGCCCTTCCCAAGCCTCCTTCCAAGCACTGGCCCCTTTGTTCCTCCTGAGGGGGCCCTGGGCTTCGGCCCCGTCCAGATGTCCATTCTTCCAGCTCTGCTGATGGTTGGTCACAGTGGGGCAGGCGCCCACCCAGGCCAGCGCCAAGGCCACAGAGGTGGGCCAGGCAGCCCCAGTTCAGACAGACACTCCCTGGGGTGAGCCTCCTCAGCCTGAGCAGAGATCTGATCTCTGAATGCAGCCAGAGCCTCTTCTGAACTTCCTCCTCAGCGAAAGCGAACACGGAATGGTGCCTGCAATTCTTCCCCACAGCAGGTGAGCCATGTGGGCCCCCAGCACACACACGCAACCCCAGCACCTCCTAGGGCACTCCTGCTTGCCTACCTAGCAGTGCCAATGTTCCGATACTGACACAACAGCAGGTGCCGGAAGGTCTTTTTAAAGGTGGCATTGCAGAGAGCGTAGCAGGCGGGGTTGATGGTGCTGTTGACGTAGCAGAGCCAGTAGCCGATGGACCACACGGTGTCAGGAATGCAGCTCTGGCAGAAGGTGTTCACCAGGACCATGACATTGTAGGGCGTCCAGGTGAGGATGAAGGCTAGCAGAATGGCAAAGATGGTCCGTGTCACCTTGCGCTCCCGGGCTGCCATCTGCCGCTTCTTGCGCACCTGGTTGCGAGCGATGCTGGCGAACTTTCGGGCCACGTTGGCCGCGGGGCGCATGCTGGCCGGTGTGGCAGGCACGATCTCAATGGCTGTCACACACTCATTGCCCGTCTGCTTCGTCACAATCTGGATCTTGGACCATTTGGAGGCTGGGTTGAGGGCTCGAGGCTGCAGGGGAGGGGCGGGCATGGCAGGCGTGGTGGCCTCTGTGGTGGACAGCTCTGTGGCTGGGCGTTCCTTGGTGTTCTGTGTGGCACTGCCTGAGCTGGACTCATTGGAAGTGTCCTTGTCAGCCATGGGGCGCGGCGGTGGTGGCAGCACCGGTGGGGGGGCCTCCTCCAGCTTGCCATTGCGCAGCTCCTCCCGGGCGGCCTCCCTGGGCGGGGGCTTCTTGACGCTGTGCTTCATCAGTGGGCTCTTGAGGAAGGCCAGCGTCTTGGCTTTCTTCTCCTTAGGGCCTTCAGGCCGGTGCTTGTGGACCCGGCTGCGACTGGCTAGGGAGATGTGGATGTACAGCACCGTCATGATGACCACAGGCAGGTAGAAGGCAGCGATGGCTGTGCCGAAGGTCACTGCCGGGTTGGACAGGAACTGGATGAAGCACTGGTTGTCGGGCACCGTCCGCTTGCCCACCACAAACTGCCAGAACAAGATGGCGGGCGCCCAGAGCACGAAGGACAGGACCCAGGCGGCGGCAATCATGAGGCCTGCCATCTTGGTGGTGCGCCGGGCGGGGTAGGTGAGGGGTTTGGTGACGCAGAAGTAGCGGTCAAAGCTGATGATGAGAAGGTTCATGACGGAGGCATTGCTTACCACGTAGTCCAGGGCCAGCCACAGGTCGCAGACCACGGCGCCCAGGGGCCAGTAGCCCTTGATGATGTACACGGTGTAGAGGTTCATGGAGAAGGCGCCAATGATGAGGTCGGCACATGCCAGGCTGAAGAGGAAGTAGTTGTTGACTGTCTGCAGCTGCCTGTTGACCTTGATGGACAGCATCACCAGGATATTGCCCACGACAGTCACCAGGCTCAGGGAGCCTGTCACCGTGGCGATGAAGACCATTTCCACCGTCTCGTAGCGGTTGTGGGTTGACGACGTGACCAGGCGCACGGACTGATTGCCAGAGCTGGCATTGACGGGTGTGAAGTTGGCCATACTGGTTAGCAGGGGTGGGTAGCCCGTGTCTGGGGAGGAAGGGAAGAGAAAAACATAAATTGCAGAAGAGGATGGTGGGGTGGGGGGGTTGTACAGAGGTACAGAGGGACATTCTCTGGCAGACCTTAAGAGAACTCTGTCCTGCCCTCCCTCACTTGTCCTTTCATTCAACATCAATTGAGCACCTACTATGAGGCAAGCACTGTTTAGGGTGCTGTGGCTTCAGAAGTGAATAAGACACACATGGCCCCTGCCTCATGGGGGGAGACATGCAAACACGTGAACTACTAAAAAAGCTCTAGAAAGAAAATAAGGCAGGTGATGGGAGAGTATCAGAAGGCAGGACGGGCACGACTCCGTGCTGGGTGATCAGGGAAGGCCTCACCCACCGGGTCATCTGGGTGATGAGGAGGCAGCCACAGGAGGAGCTGCAGAGAGTGGCCCCACCAAGGGCGGTGGCCACAGCAGAGGCCCGGAGGCAGTGCGAGGCCTAGACAGAGGCCGGTGTCAGGGGAGCCCAGGGAAGCAAGAGGAGGATGGGAGTAGTCCCAGAGGTCCCCCAGCGTGTGGGTGCTGGAAAGAGGTGTTCCGTCATCCATTTACCCCCTTGGTCATTTCTTTCTTTTTTTTTGAGAAGGAGTTTCGCTCTTGTTACCCAGGCTGGAGTGCAATGGCGCGATCTCGGCTCACCGCAACCTCCGCCTCCTGGGTTCAAGCAATTCTCCTGCCTCAGCCTCCTGAGTAGCCGGGACTACAGGCGCGCACCACCATGCCCAGCTAATTTTTGTATTTTTAGTGGAGACAGGGTTTCACCTTGTTGACCAGGATGGTCTCGATCTCTTGACCTCGTGATCCACCCGCCTCGGCCTCCCAAAGTGCTGGGATTATAGGCGTGAGCCACCGCGCCCGGCCCCCCTTGGTCATTTCTTAACACCTGCTCTCTAACCCATGCAGAATGCACCGAGACAAAGGCAATAATAGGGGTATCTATGAGCACCCAACACTGACGGTCTAAGTGTCAGGCACCTTTGACACTTAAAACAAGAAAAGCGGGGGCCGGCATGGTGGCTCACACCTGTAATCACAGCACTTTGGGAGGCTGAGGCAGGCAGATCACAAGGCCAGGAGATAAAGACCATTCTGGCTAACACAGTGAAACCCTGTCTCTACTAAAAAAATACAAAAAATTAGCTGGGCGTGGTGGCACGTGCACGTGTCTGTGGTCCCAGCTACTTGGGTGGCTGAGGCAGGAGAATTGCTTGAACTCAAGAGGTGGAGGTTGCAGTGAGCCGAGATCCCGCCACTGCACTCCAGCCTGAGCAACAGAGCAAGACTCCATCTCAAAAAAGGAAAAAAAAAAAAAATTGCTTATACCCATTACTGGAAGTAACAGGAAAAAAAAGTGTCTATTTATTTATTTGTAGAGACAGGGTCTTGCTATGCTGTCCAGGCTGGTCTAGAACTCCCAATCAAGCCATCCTCCCACCTCCTGAGTAGCTGGAATTCAGGCGCCACCATGTCTGGCAACAATTTTTATAGTGTTAACTCATTTCATCCTCACAACAAACCTATGAGGTAGATACCATTATATTTTTTTCTTGACTACGTACAAATGGGGAAACTGAGGCACGGAGCTGTTAAAAGCCTGACTGAGGTTCCACAGCTTCTTGCGTCATGTTGCATCATGTTGCTGGTAGGGATGTGTGCGGGGAGGGGTGGTGAGAGGAAGGCACTCTGGTAACTGAGAGCTCTGGCTAAGGGAGGCCAAAGAGCTCAGAAGGCAAAAGGCTTTGCAGGGACCAGAGGTGGTGGGTGGAGCTGGGCACCCTGAAAGGAGGAGAGTCCTTGCAGAAGGGGCTTTGGGAGGTAACTGCCACTGTCGCATCCCTTTCCTGGAGCCCTCAGCTCCAGCCACAGGGCAGACAGCTGGGAGGTGGACAGTGCAGGGGTCACTAGGGGCTATCAGAGACGCCTGGAGCCCAACTGGGGACCAGTGAGGTGAACGGATTGTCCCAGAGGGAAGAGCAGGGCTGCCACGGCCTCCCTTTCCCTCCGAAGTCCACTCCCCATACCAGCAGCGCCCTAGCTGGAGTCCCCACCGCAGGCCCTTCCCTGAGCCTGCCCTCCCTCCCACCAGGCTCCTCTTAGCTCTCCTCCCCCTCTTCCTCTTCCCTCCATGTGAGGGAGGCCCACGCCAGCTCCGAGTGCCAGGGCAGCCGCTCAGCCCAGCCTCCTTCACACCCGCCAACACACACACCGCTCCACAGACGCACGCGGGCCCATCACAGCCACGCCAGCCCAGCAGGCATGGTCGGATACGCAGTTCTGTGCGTCTGCGTGTGAGAGGAAGAGAGGGCACGGCAGCTGGCTGTGGAGGAAGGAGCACTAACCCGTACCCTGCGCTCCGGCTGTGTGGCCTGAGACAAGCCACCTCACCTTCCTGTGCCTCTTTCTCATTTGCAGAAGACAGGATCCTGTCCTGGGAGATCCTGCCCAGCAGCTATAGGGATCAGCACCTAAACTTGATCTTCATACATAAACACGAAAATGCACTGCCGGCTGGGGCCAAGGGCCAGGGTAACCACCCCAAGTCTGGCCCCAGCCCTTCTACTCTACCATGGCAGATACAGACTCAGCCTCCTAGCCTGACAGTTCAAGTTCTGTTCTAAAACCTTGTAGAAGGAGAGGCTGAGAACAGGTATTGTCACCCCAAGGTCACACAATGAGTCAAGGGCAAAGACCAGATACTGCCCTCTCTTGGGGTTCCTGACAACCCCATTCAGCTCTGAGAGCCTCTGAAATAGCAGCTCAGGTGTCACTCTCTGAGCTGTCCCCTCCAGCACCAGGAGGCTGCCCTCCCCCTAGCATTCACAAGCTGGAAGGGAGAGGACAGGCAGGGGCAAGCAGTCAGCCAGCGCCAAGGAAACTGGCCTTAGCCTCCCAGGGCAGGATACAGGCCAGCAGGATGATAACAAACGTGCTGGAGGTGCAGAATGTGAAAACATAATAGCTCTTGTTTATTGAGTGTTAACTATGAGTCAGGAACCCCTCTGAGCTTTTAATATAGATTATCTGGTTTAATCCTTACAACAGCCTGAAAAGGCAGGTATCAGTCTCCTCATCTTACAGATGTAAATATCCTCTTATAGATGAGGTTAATGTTAGTCAACTGGCCCCAACTCACTGGGTTTGGAAGTAGGGGTGGGGGCAGGAGAAAAACCCGGAAACCTCCTTCTTAAGTCCAAGGTGCTACTACTGCTCAGAGTTGACCTCCTGCCTCCGCTCCCCTCCCCACCGGAAAACCACACAGCTGAGGTACTGTTCAGGAGAGGCTTGGGTAGGGTCCCCTCGCATTCCTGCTGGCTTCTCGACTTAGCTTTCCCAGAAGACAAGCGATGTCTTGTCTTCTCCCAGATCCTGGCGGCCGGGTTGAGCCGGGACCACAGGATGGCCGGTGGTTAAGTCCTGCTCTTGGCCTGCATGAGGGAGCTGCCAGGTGCTGACGGGGCGAGGCTCAGGGTCTCCCCGACTCAGCCCCGCCCTAGCCGTCGTCTTTTTGGACACCTCGGGGTCACCCGCAGACATTCCCACCGCAGGCCCCTCTGGCGCGTTTCCCTGGAATCCAGATGCGCCTGGGATCTGGGGAGCGAGCCGCCGCCGCCGCAGGGGCTGTGCGCACCGCTAGATGGCAGTGTCGGTCGCTGCTGCCCGCTCAGGACCTAGACCGTGCGGCCGCCGTTCGCCACTGCCCCCAGCTCCAATTCGATTGCGAACCCAGAGGAGCCCCCAGGCAGAGCCTCCCGGGGAAGGGACGTGGGGTCCCCTCGCCAGGCCCTTCGGGACGCCGCCCCGGAGCTGCCCTCCGATCCGCGCGGGGTTCTCGGGTGGGAAAGTTGAGGGTGCCCGGATTCCACCCGGCACCCGGCGAGGAACGTGTGGGCGGGAGCGCGAGTGCGAGTTCTGTTTGTGTGTGCCTACGGGGGAGCGCGAGTAGACGCTAGTAGCTGTCTGCATGTGCGTGTGTGTGCGCACGGCCACGCCTGGATACCAGTGCGCCCGTGAGAGCGCGTGAGCATGCCGCGCCGTGTGGACACGTGCATGTGCACGCGTGTGCGTGCCTAGGGTGCTGTGGCCGGGAGGATGCACACGGTTCGGGTGCCTCTACACCTGTGGGCTTGCATGCACAAGCAAATGCAGGGCCGACAGTGGGTGACCGGTCACATTCCAAACGCCCCTGCCGGGAGACTCTGCCAGACCTTAGCTGTCCGCCTGAGCGCGGAGAGGGTCGGGCCAGGAGCCTGCATCCGGACTGCGCCTGTCCTGTGGATGGATAAGTGTCGTGCGGACAGGACAAGGAGGCCAGACTACACTAAGGGCTGCGACGGGCCACCTAACTTTGGGGAGGCCGTCTTAGCCCGGTGCCCAGAGGTGTCCAAGTCCTCAAAGATGTGGCAGAGTCCCAGCCTCAGACTGACATTTGTCGGGGGTCCGCTGAGACAGTCGCCCAACCCGGCCTTGAGGGACATCAGGCAGGCTCAGCTCTGCGAGCCCCTAAGAGGCATTATCGCCAAAAGACGCCCAGTCTCGCGGCGAGAGGGCACCGGCAGTGCACCCACCCACAAGGCAGAGGCCCAGACAGAGCTCGGGTCAGGCGAGTGCAAGACTCTTGTCCCCCGCTCCTCACCCTGCGCCCTACCCCAGAGGCACTGTCTAGCCACTGCGACCAAAGTGGGCAGCCAGTTTTCTCACGCTAGGGTCGGGCGGGCCTCGAGGGCCGGGTTTTCCTGGGCCATCTGGAGGCTCCTCCACGTCTCTGCCGTGGTCGAAGGAGCCCTGGCTCTCCGGTGCCCCGCCCTCCCTCCAACCCCCTAGCACGCAGTTCCTGCAGCCTCTGGGCGTGGGCACTGTGCTTTCCCGAGTCCTCGACCCCCTCTTCCCCGGGAGAGACCGGAGTGGGTGCTCCGGGCGTCCGTGGGGTGGTTTGGGGCGTAGGTCTTCGGTTCCTGGGCATTCACTCCATGGCTCTGGGAAGGCTGTGGCCCCTGGAGCGGGAGAGGAGACTCCGGAGTTCAAGGGAGGGAGAGGCGAAGATTTGGCACCGACATTGTGCCCAACACTTCCGTTGCGGGGCCGGGGTGGGGTGGGGGGAACTGGAGCTGGAAGACCCCAGAGGAGGCTGGGCAGCAGCGGGGGTTAGTCCCGGAGTGGGGGAGGGGTGCCGGGGAGGGCCGGGGTGTTTTCCGTCGGGGCTCAAGGTCGTAGAAGGAAAACTCCAGGGGCCGGAGTGGGCTGGCAGCGCCGGGGCAAAGGGGCAGAGGGAGAAAGAGGGCGGGGAGACGGCGGGAAAAGGGCTCTTTGGGGCTTCAGCGCCCGGCGCCCCACAGAGCCGCCAGTGGGAGGATTGGAGTACCGGGTCCCACCCCCGACGGCTGCCCCTGGCTCCGTAGGGGCTGTGGGCGGGCACTCTCCCGCCCCCGACATCCTGGATGCCCACCCCTTCCCACGGGCGCACCTGGAGAAGCCTCCGAGAGACCCCGGCCTTGCTTCCAGCGGGGTCCCCCAGCCCCGGCCCTCTGCAGCTCCTGGCACCACGCTCGCCCCGGAGGGGTTCTGGCGCCCAGTCCCAGTCGAACCCACCTCTGGGGAGCCTCAGAGCGTCCCGGGGACCTGCTTCCTGCTCTTCCCGGCGAGCCCCCCGCCCCCGCGCCGCCGCGGAGCCACTTACCCGCCGCCTCTGCCCCGCTCCCCTCGCGCCAGACAGACGGCGGGACGGACGCGCGGCCCGGCGGGCCAGCGGGGCGGGCGGCCGGGCCGAGGGCCGGGGGCGGGGACGGGGTGTCGAGGGGCGGCCCCTGCTCCGCCCGCAGCTCCCGGCGTTGTGGCTCCGACTCGCGCTCACGCTCGCACTTTTCCCCGAGCCGCGTGATGTCACGAGGAAGCAGCCAATCGTGGCAGGGCCGCGCCGCCCGCCCCGGGCCGGTCACCCGGCGGCGACGCGCGGGGGTCACCACCCGAGGCGTCGGAGACCCCGGCGGTCCGCGCCCCTCTCGGGGGCCGGCCGGCAGCTCCTCGCCGGGGCACCGAAAGCGCCGCTCACGGCCGGCGGCGAAGGGGAGCAGGGGGCGCTGCCCTCCGGGGGTGGGGTATCCGCGTTGTCATGGGGACGCGGCGCCCCCTCGCGGGCTGGGGAGGGAGCTGGCAGCGGGTCCGGCCGCGCTCCCGCCTCCACTCTGACCGCACTCCCGGGACCCTGAGCTATTTTCGCGCCTCTCCGGACCTCAGCGCCCTGCGCGGCCCTGCTCACGGTTTGGCCTCGAGGCGCGGGAGTCTCACCCCAGCGGGAGGCTGCGAGTGGGTGGGGCGGGCTGCCCCGCCAGGGCTCCGTCGGGGCCGAGGGCCGGGAGCTCCAGCCGCGCCGCTGTGTGCCGGCCGGGCAGCCCGCGAGGAGGGGCGCCGTCGGGGCCTGGGTGGACTAGCGAGGGTCGGCCGGGGAGAGAGGAGCCCACCGCGGTCCACTCGCCCGCACCCGCTCGGGTTCCCTGCTCGGCGCTCCAGGCCGGGGAAAGGGCGCGCCCCCGCTCTCCAGTCCTGGGATGGGACGCGCCGCCCGTCCAGCCGCAGCCTGGACCGCGAGTTCACCGCAGCCTGTGAGGGACAGCCGGTTGCCCAAGGTCACCTGGGCCGGAGCGCGGGACAAGACCCCGGAGAGCGGGCGGCCACTTTCAGAGGTCGCTGGGAACCCGCACGGGCCGGAGCCTCAGGACGCCGGGCCTTGCCCAAGCCGGGCCGACAGCGGGGCGGCTTCAGCACCTCGGAGAGCACCCGGCGCTCCGGCCCCGCGGCCTCTCGGGTCTGATCCTGCTCTGGCTCTCGGCTCCCTCCGAGAGCGCCCTTCTGAGCGTCCGCCGGGGTCGGACGCACCCCACAGCTTCCAGGACCGAGGCCTGTAACCCAAACGCTCATTGCAAACATTTGATTAATCTTAAGAAGTCTGGTTTCTTCTTTCGGGGAAACAACTCGAGACCCTCCCCCGAGGGCCAGAGGTGGTGGTGGGGGGGCGATTGCGGGGGCGGCCATGGAGGAGAGGCAGGAGCCTCTTGGCAAAGAAGGGGAAGGAACCCGTGCAGAAGCCTGCGCTGCGGGGCTGTGGGTGTGGGGTTCTCCGCGCTGAACCCGGAAGTGGAGGTCGGGTCCCCAGAACTCCAGAGCGCGAGGGCTGGGGTTGGTATGAGTTGAGAACTTCAGGGCTGGGGTTGGTTGGAGTAGGAAGCCATCTTCTGTTGTTACAAAAATGATCGGATCTCTCAAGACCTCATAACTGGGGATGACAGAAGCACTACTGTTCTTGCCCCACTTCACAAATAAGGAAAGTTGGTTTATAAGACCCTAAGACTGCAGTCCTGCACTTGTTCCACTTTGCCATGTCCCTCCCAGGACCCAAAAGAGTGTGGTACTCCTTGGAGGAGGTGGGGGTTGTGGAGGAGGAAGGCAGATCCTTAAAACAGTCAGATGAGAAAACAAGCAAGGCCTAGGATGGGAGGCTGCAGATACCAGACATGCCTCCAGCTACTGACCCCCAGCTCTTCCAGAAGCTGGCAGGCACAGTCAGTCACTTTAATTTCTCCACAATCCCTGCTATGAAGGGGCTTTTGACGTCCTGCAATCTCCCAACCCCCAGAACCCTGGAGAGTCGAGCTAGGAACAAGGGGACCTGATGGTTTCTCTGCTGTCTTTGATGCCACTAGGTTAACAGAAAAGTAACAGAATTTCTCTAAACCTATTCCCTCATCTCCAAAAGGGACTGCCCCTCTTTGCCCTGCTGACGCCACAACCTTGTGATGTGTGAGGGGCCTGCAAAGATTTTACCACCAGAGAGCTCTGTCATTGGGCAAGGGCCTTCTAAGGAAAAGAGTTGGTATGGGGACAGGAAGGTGTTGACAAGGGCCTCCAATGGGGTTGGGGGAGGATAGCTGGCACCATCCAGAGACAGCAGAGGCAAGGCCAGCCAGGTCTAAATTTGGACCATCTCAGCTGGGTGGTGGCTTATGCCCATAATCCCAGCACTTTGGGAGGCCGAGGCTGGCAGATCACTTGAGGTCAGGAGTTTGAAACCAGCCTGGCCAACATGGTGACACCCTGCCTCTACTAAAAACACAAAATTAGCTGTGTGTGGTGGCACACACCTGTAATCCCAGCTGCTCAGGAGGCTGAGGCAAGAGAATCGCTTGAACCCAGGAGGCAGAGGTTGCAGTGAGCCAAGATTGTGCCACTGCGCTCCAGCCTGGGCAACAGAGTGGGACTCCATCTCCAAACAAGCAAACAAACAAAAAACATTTTTGGATCACCTCATCCCTAGGGGCCTGCTCATACCCTTATCCATAACCAAAGCAACAGAACAAGTCAGGGTCCCATTTTTTCTCCTACACCTCATCTTCCTTCTGTAGAAATGACAGTGGCTGGGTGAGGTGTGTGCTCAGGAATCAGACACGACCTGGCTCAAACCCTGGCTCTGCCAGTTGTGTGCTTTGGGAGTAGGGATAACAGCAGTAACGTTATCCCTCAGAACGTTTTTTGAGTTGTTTGCATTAAACAAATTAACAGGACCCACTATCAGACTAAGGAATTCTTCCTCCTACGGGTAGTGGGGAAAGGATGTGGGGCAGTGGGCTCCCTTCTCCTTCCAGCCTTCAATGTTTAGCTCAAATCCCACTTAAAAAACAAAGAGAGATAGGGTTTCACTTTGTTGCCCAGGCTGGACTTGACTCCTAGGCTCAAGTGATCCTCCTGGCTCAGCCTCCCAAGTAGTTTAGGACTACAGGTGCCTAAATCCCACCTGTGAAAGGAAGCCTGCCCTAACCACTTGTGTGCTCTCTGGGCTTGAATGATTCCAGAGCACAGAGCTAGGAGTAACTTTGAGGTTCTGTAGTACAAGCCCTGCATCCTAACAAGGGAAAGTGAAGCCCAGAAAAGGCAAGTGGCTTGCCCAAAGTCACACAGCTAAGTGATGTGTCTTTCAGTCCAGAGTTCACTGTTACACGTAATTTTCTAGAAAATGAGTCTTGCCATGGTTTTGTATTTCGTTCTTTTTTGAGACGGAGTTTTGCTTGTCGCCCAGGCTGGAGTGCAGTGGCATGATTTCGGCTCACGGCCACCTCCGCCTCCTGGGTTCAAGCAATTCCTGCCTTGGCCTCCTGAGTAGCTGGGATTACAGCATGTGTGACCACACCCAGCTAATTTTTGTATTTTTAGTAGAAACAAGGTTCCTCCATGTTGGTCAGGCTGGACTCAAAACTTTCAACCTCAGGTGATCCGCCCACCTTGGCCTCCCGAAGTGCTGGGATTACAGGCATGAGCCACTGCGTCTGGCTGATGGTTTTGTATTTCTTGCGGATTTATCTTTTGGTTTTTGTCTCTCTTGGAGCAGAATCTGAAATTCCGTGGCCAGAATTGGCATCAGGGACAGATTTGGTTGCACACACACACACACACACACACTCAAAAGTACATGCTGCTAGCAAAAAGCCCTAGTGTTGCTTGGATTTTCTTTTATGGCTCTTGAAGAGTTGGGACAAATATCCTTGTCCCACTTGAGACAGAGTCTCACTCTGTTGCCCAGGCTAGAATGCAGTGGTGAGGTCTCCCCTCACTGCAACCTCTACCTCCGGGGTTCAAGCGATTCTTGTGCCTCAGCCTCTCTAGTAGCTAGGATTACAGGTACCTGCCACCACGCCCGGCTAATTTTTTGTATTTTTAGTAGAGACATGTTGGCCAGGCTGGTCTCAAACTCCTGACCTCAAGTGATCTGCCCATCTTGGCCTCCCAAGGTGTTGGGATTACAGGTGTGAGCCACTTGCACCTGGCCAGCTGGAAGCTTTCAAGCAGCCAAAGCCCGTAAACAGAGCAGGCCTTTCGGCCACTGGAGGGAAGACACAGTCAAGAGAGACCTGAGCAGCTAAGCCATTGACACCTTGCCTGCAGACAGGACCAAGCCCCTCCGCCCGCCTGGCAGGCTGGACACCTGCTGTGTGCACTTTTCCAGGACTGGAGGGGATCCAGCTTTCTGGCCAGTTACATCACCTCAGGACTGTAGTCCCGTGTGGGAACCTATTAGGATGAACAGCCTTCGATCATTCCTACATACCCACCTGCCACTGGAAAGTGGTCCCAGTCTGTAGCAGGCCCCCGGGAAGCAGGACGTGGTGGTGTGGAGAGTAGTAGTATGAAGCAGAGGTGGCAGCCCTCACCTGACCAGCTCTGGTGAAGGGGTCAGATGGGTCCACTACACCCCACTGGTACCAGAAACAGTGCCGGGCAACTGGGCCTGACTCAGTTCAGTGCCTCTCACTTCCCAATCCCCACCCTTCCCCCAGCCTCCGTGGAAATAAACGAGAGAGGAGCCTGGTGAGGGGCATGTCATCATTTTAATGATGTGATCTTTGGTGTTTCCCTCATTAGCTGTAGACCATCCCCTCTTCTCCCAACACAATGCTTCTATGATGAGTTACAGACAGAAAGAAAATCACATTTTCATACTAAAAACAAAATGATCAGAGCCTTGATTTCTCCACTAGAAACTACACGTACAGTTAAGAGTCCACATGCAACACCGTAAGTCACAGACTGAGACCTCACATTCTGACCTGGCGTCTCCTCCCCTCCCCCAGCCTTGGGCTAGCTTTGGCCTAGGCTCAGGTAATACTGATATGCACAGGCGCTGCTCTGAGGGCCTTGGGGGGAGGAGGAGACTGGTGGACAAGCCCTGGGGGCCGGCCAGCCTACACCCCCGACTCCTGAGTGAGGACCTGCCCACTGTCCCTTGACTCCATCCTGTATCAGGCAAGCAGGCCGCCCCCTTAATCCACAGTAGTCCCCTATTGGTAAATGCCGGAAGTCCCTGTCCTCAGGAATCTGGGAGCCTGGCCCGACCCGTTGGTTTCAG